GGCAGACCTGCCTGGAGGGATGTTTGATAAGAGCCAGGTGGCCACTTGGGAAGTTACTCCATGAACCGTGAGAACAAGGAAGCGTCTCTTCCCCTGAGGAGAGGGGCTCCTTACCTGCCCCTCACAGCGTCCACTCCCTTTCCTAGCTTCTCTTCTTTCCTGTCCCAGAACCTGGGTCTCAGGATTGAATCTTTTGACTCCTTTTCTGAGGTTAATAAGAGGTTCTGAAAATTCCACATGGGCTTGTTTAAACCGTTGTTTTTGCAGCCAGCTGTCTTCAGCTCAGATCCGACTGATGATGCACTCGGACATGTGGAAGGACACCCCACCTGGTCCTGCACCATTTCCTTGAGAGCTGGTGGCCATGCACTTGTGGTCTATAGGATTTTCTCTCACTGGCCCATCGTCAGGCTTTCTTGTTGGTTTGGAAGTGCTACAGAGACCCGCTCAGCATCGTAGCAATGCACAGCCCCACGTAAGAGGTCTACCAGGGAGTTACCACCACCTCCTTTTAAACCTTAATGCTGTGGAATGAGCATGTTGTTGTTGTTAGGCGCTATCCAGTTGAGTACGATTCACAGCGACTCTATCAACAACAGATTGAATCCTGCACCATCCTCATCGTCTCTGACATCCTGAGCCCATCGCTGCAGTCTGTGTCAATCCATCTGGTTGAGGATCTTCCTTTCCTTTACTGACCTATCTTTCCCAGCACAATGTTCTTCCTTTTCCAAGCAACATGCTCAAAGTAAGTGAAACAAAATTTTGTAATCGTTGCATCCAAGATGCACCCTGGCTGTACTCCCTCCAACACATATCTATTCATTTATTTCTATGAGAACTTACAGTCAAGGTCAATTGCCCAATGTCCATTTCAGACCAGGACAAAGAGGACATTGTCACAGCTTTCAGAAAGGAGAAGCCTTGTCAGTCTGCTGTACTGAGATTGTGGGTTGCTGTGATACTGAAAGCTATTCCACTGGTGTGTCAAATGCCACAAGGGTTACCTACAGTGGATACAGCTGAGGAGAACTCCCAGATTGACCTGTTGAGTTGGAGAAGAGCACCAAACATCCCATAGACAGCCAAAAGAATAAACAAGTATGTCTTGGAGAAGGTTCAGCCAGATTGCTCTTTGGAGGCAAAAATGATGAGGTTTTGCCTCATATACTTCCAGCATGTTGCTAGGAAGAGGGCTGTTCCTTGGAGAGGGAAATGATGCTAAGAAAGGTGAAGGGACAGCAAAGGAGAGGAAGACCCTCAACCAGGTGGATTAGTACGGTGACTGCCGCAAAGGGCTCTTGTGTGTCAGGAAGTGTGAGGATGGCACAGGATAGGACAGGGTTCAGATCTGTTGTTGATAGGGTCGCTCTGGGTCATACTTGACTCAACAGCACCTAACAACAACAATCAGAAAGGAGAAGCAGCTTTAGTTCCCCCTTACCTTGGTAAGTAGTTGATAAAGGCTCCCATTGCTATATGTGACATATTTGTGACATGCGTTGGTGAACTGGGGATGATGAACAAAGAAGTGACCAGAGAATTGGGCTTCCTTGTTTTGCAGAGGAACACACTTTTGTTGTTGCATGAGGACCGAGACATGCTATCCAAGATGGATTCCGGACATACCTGTATACTTGTCCGGTGCACAAATAGAAACATTTGTCATGTTTCTGTGACCAGTCCCGTCCCTATATATTTGTGTTTGAACCCTATTAAGTAAGCTGGTAAACAGAGTTTTTTTTTCCTTGTTGCTTTATTTGTCAGACTGTCAGAGATAAAAATAGTTAAACATGTGCAACTTGTTTGTTCTCTCCTTGTTTTGCCCAGGGGCTATTCATGCTGGAGAACTCAGAACTGGTGTGTGTGTGTGCTGGTGGCACAGTGGGTAAGCGCTCAGCTGCCAATGGTGGTCAAAGCTCCCTGTGGCTTTTCTCCTGGGAGAACAAACCTTGCTCACCTGCTCCTGTAACAAGAATTAAAACCTGTTGCTGTGAAGTTCATTTCGACAGAGCAAAGGTGCCCCTTTAGGTTCCATGGAGGCAAATCTTTACGGAAGCTCACTCCCACAGCTTTCTGAAGGAGTGGTTTTGAACCAGTGAACTTCTGGTTAGTTAAGAGTGCCACCAGGGCTCCCTCCAGTAAAGAAGGTTGCTTAGGCAAGCCTGCGAGGCAATGCTACTCTGTCATTTAGGGCCTCTGTGAGCTGGGACTGTGCTGGAATGCACTGAATGGGACCCGATAATGACAACATACAGAAAGGGGGAGAAAGAGAGCAAGGGAGCCATGATGGCACAGTTGTTAATCGGCTGCTAAGTCAAGAGCTTGAACCCACAAATGAAGAAAGATGTGGCAGTCTACCTCCATGAAGATTATAGTCTTGCAACTTTAGGGTGTATTTGGCTATCTCTCCCCTCCAAGGGCAGCTGGGGGATTCGAACCACCTGTCTTTGGGTTGGCAGCACAACTCCTGGGTTGGGTTTTGGACGCCCATACAGTACGCACTCATGGCGCCCCCATGTCAGAGCCCACTGTGGTCTGCAGGGATTTCAAGGCTGTGGTCGTTCAGAAGTAGATGCCAAGTCTTTCTTCAGAGGTGCCCCAGGGTGCACTCAAACTGACAACCTTTAGAAGAGCAGGTGTTTGCGCTGACATACAGCTACATCATTTGAGAACACGACTCGGCCCACTGACTGCCTGACAGAGGTGGAGACGTCTCCAAACTCAGGGGTCTCAGGTCCACATCGTGGGTCTGAAATTGCCACGTGACTGTCCACAGCATCAAGCCTTCACCCCGCGCCCAGACTGCATAGGACAGAGAAATGGCACTGGCGAGACTTGAGAGCCTTCACTCTGCCTTTGCTGGCTCTTTGAGCTTTAGGTTGAGCTTTGGGCATAGGTGGTGCTTCCGGTGTGTGTGTCTTGTGTGTGTGTGTGTGTGTGTGTGTGTTGCTTCAGGTTGAACGGGGCAGTGTTGTGTGTATGTGCGTGTGTGTGTGTTGTGCGTATGTATGTGGACATGTGTGCGTGTGTATAAAGTATTGCATGTAATGGATCGCAAGCATATGTATTACATGTATGTATGTGTGTGTGCACGCGCACGTGTTTGTGGTAAGGACACTGAGGAGGCAACTTGAAAGTAAACGGGCCGCTCTGGGTTCCTTTGCTAAAAATAGATGCCTAACGCGCGCGGTCGGCTGAGCGGCGGGCAGCGCGAGGCGTCCGTTGGGTCAGCCCGGCCTGGCTCACCGCGCCGAGCGCGCGCACAGACACACTCGCGGCGCCGGGGCGGGAGCGAGTCCCCACGCCTCTCCAGGCTCGTTTTCATGGCGCAGCACGGGCGCCTCTCGAGCTCAGCCGCCGGCCGGGCCGCGAGCGAGCGATCCCGGCCGGAGCTCCGCCCGCGGACGCGAGCGCCGCCGCCGAGGCC